TTTTTTTCTTGTTGGCCTATTTTTAAATCTGGTTATGTTGATCGCGCTCTATCTCCAGAGTCGGATTTTCTCTCTCTATTTCGATCCGTCGCAACAATCAATCCACTGCTCAATCTCCCTCAATTCCAATGCCCATGGCCATGGTTCAAGTCGAGCTTTCCACCGACCAGGTATGCATACGTTACCCATACGTCTGCTATGTACTTGTACGCGCTGAATTACTCGTTCGCGTTAACAATTGTTGGCATCACTTTCACATTCTGAAGCCAATATGTTTAACAAATTAATTGTTGTTTTGGCGCTGATCATGTAAAGGGAAATTTGTCACTTGCTCAAGAAGAAAATTATGTCATGTTGGCCTATTGAGTATTGTTTGATTCGTTAAAGTTTCCATTTTTATTTGTGTTTGCGTGTGAAATTGATTTTTTTTCTTATTTGTTATGATGATTTCTTTTTTCAAATATCCCTTTTTATTTGTTTTGGTAAGGTTCTGAGGAGGCATATTTCATGGGAAACTTATATGACCACTAAGCTGATCACGGGAACTGGGCTTCAGTTGTTGAGGCGTTATGATAAGAAACCTGATAATTACAAGGCTCTGTTGCTCGATGATGTATGCCTCTTGCACTAATATGTGTCTATTTTGTTAAAATATTTGATTCCAATTTTTATCGTTATAAGTTCTCGAATTGTAAAAGGCACAGAAGTTTTATGAGATTTCTCTAATTATAAACTTGATGAATTTTACTATGAGTAGGGATTTTAACTAAGCATTTGTTACAATTTTATATCAATTGGCACCATAAGTTACAAGTAACTTGTGATACTGTTGAAGAAAACCAGCTATTTGTGCACGCAGAGGCATGACTACTGTGATAGATAGTTAAATTAGGTTGGCAGAATGTTTGGTGTGGTAATGCTTGGGAATTCCACATGGCCGGTTATAATCGTTGTAGGTTGTTTATTTGTTTTTATAGGACACAAAGACCAATCGAACAAAAAGTGGTAAAGGTTTTGATAATAATTGTAATGTTGATTGTTACAGGATGGTCCAGCTTACATCCGTATTTTTGTTAGCATATTGCGTGACATATTCAAGGAAGAAATTGTAGAGTATGTTTTAGCTCTGATCGATGAAATGCTTTCAGGTAAGTGGACAAGTTGGATAGACTGTACTTAGCTTGTACTGTTTTAAGTTATTGCCTCATTTTCTGCTATTCTTTTCTCCATACATGGCAGCGAATCCCAAAAGAGCAAGGTTATTTCATGATAAGTCTCTCTCCAGCGAGGATACATATGAGCCTTTACTAAGGGAATGATCTAGCCTAATGTTTGAATTTCATAGTTATTAATTTTCAAGTAAGGTTATCAAATTTAGTTCATTATGATGGGTTTCTAATGCATGCAACTTTTGATTGAAATAACTTGATTTCAAAGCAGACTTATGATTTCAAATATAAAACAACAACAACTTTTAAGTACTAAACAATTCTTAGCAGTTAGTCCTGTAATCTTGGTAGAGTTGTTATTTAATTTCATTGTAATAATTCTGATCAATTTTATATCTTATTGTTCTTGGCCGATAGCCTCAATTTTATATAGATGAATGATCACTCCTTTTTCAGGTTGCTTTTGGGAAATGTACTTATATACCTATTTGGCTATTTGTAATTACGATTAAATCTGCGATTAAGATATAATAAGGGGACCTAAACTATAAGTTCTACCCTATTGTCAAATATATATCCGTTGAGCTCCTTTGCTTCGGCCCCACCAAAAATGACCGTTGCCGCCTCTCCACCACCGCTATATATCCTCTCTCCGCCGTGCCTCCAAATCTCACTCCAAAGCTAAATATCTCTCTCTCTCTCTCTCTCTCTCTCTCTCTCTCTTAGAAATCACATAAATTCCCAAGAAATTCTAACAATTAACGGAAATAGAAATGGGTCTGACGGTGGATAACGGCGGCGACTCGGCCACCCACACACACAAGGTGTTTCTCCTCACCAACTACGCCCTCATCGGCGCCGCCTCCAGCTGCATCTTCCTCACCCTATCCCTCCGCCTCATCCCCTCCCTTGCCGGCGCCTTCCTCGTCCTCCTTCACGCCGTAACCATCGCCGGCGCCGTCTCTGGCTGCGCCGCCGCCTCTCGCGGCGGCGGATCTAGGTTCTATGGGGTCCACATGGTGGCCACCGTCCTCACCGCCATCTTCCAGGGCTCTGTCTCGGTCCTGATCTTCAGCCGTCCGTCCGATTTCCTGGGCCACCTGAAGTCGTACGTCCGGGAGGATGACGCCGTCGTCATACTGAAGCTCGCCGGCGGGCTGTGCGCGGTGATTTTCTGCTTGGAGTGGGCGGTGCTGACGCTGGCATTCTTTTTGAATTATTATGCGTACGTGGAGAGGAGGGGCGATTGTGGGAATAGCAGCAGTTATGGGGCGAGAAGTGGGAAAGTCCAGGATGAGGTTGATTTGAGGACAAATTTGCCATGGCAATTTCAAGTTTGATGCAAATTATACTGATTATTTTCTAATGCATTGAAGAGAAGACTGGGAATTTTATTGGGAATTCGTTATATATATATATATATAATACTTTTTTTTTTTGTT